GGAATCGATCCTTGGAGACGGAAATGTATTGTCCAAATCTTGGAATTTGGAGTCGGAGGTGGAGATGAACTTGCCAATCATATCTTCGAGACTAGATTTCTTTTCTTGTAGTGGCAGTTGTTGATGGTGCTGATTGGAATTGCTTGATGATGCTTGATTAAATCCGGGTGGAGCTCGTTGATTCCCTTGGTTGGACCAAGAGAAGTTTGGATGGTTTCGCCATCCTGGATTGTATGTGCCTCTATATGGATTTCCGCTCCTCTGAGGATTGTTGATATAATCAACATGCTCGGTGGTAGATGTTGAGGAGATCAACTTGCACTCGGTAGTGTTGTGGTCACCAGCACACCATTCGCACTTGAACGCCTTGCCGGATACAGTGAGCTGGTCGAACTTTTTGTTGAGGTTTTCAACTTGTACGGCCAAGGCTGTAACTGGGTCGACTTGGTGTAGTCCGGCACTTCTGGTTGGCTATGGTCGGCACTTGTTTCAGGGGGAATACCATTCATAGCTATTCATTGCCATGGCTTCGATATTGGGCCTTCGGATGCTTGAGTGAGTTCCGTCCAAGGTAGGACGGGCATAATCAAACATTGTCCGATTGTTCACTTCGGCGTGTTCTTCCGCCATTGTGTGTGGCTGCACTTGTTGCTCTCTCCTTTGTTGACGAAGAGTTCTCTCGATCTCGGGATCAAGGTCGACCAGTCCAAGTGGGTGGTTTCGGGTCATGCACTATTTCAAGCACAAAAACAAGAACAACCCGTGAAAGCAACAAGTGTGATATAACAAGAAAAATAAAGCGACTAAATTAATAGTTCAAAGCTTTTTCTAATAACTTAGTCCCCGGCAACGACGCCAAAAATTTGATCGCCCGTAACTAACACAGGAAAAATAGGCAAGGATACCTATCGTTCTACGGTAGTATAGCAGGAAGCAAGGTCGTATCCACAGAGACTTCGTGTACTAGTACTCAGCTTTTACCTATTATCTAGTCAATCATTTTTAGTTGATTTTCGTTTAGAAATAAAAACACACGCAATAATAACAATAAAATAAAGTAGTTTTCAAAGTAAAATCAAGTGGAGAAGGCGTTGTCCTGGAAGTGAATCCCCCTAATATGCATTTTACAGACAAGTTGAATTTAACATAGACGAGTGTTAATATCTTAGACCGTGAAAATTCCCAATTTAGTGTTAACCCGTTCGCACATGTATTAACACCCTTTCGACTTAAGAATCAAGTGAAAACGTGGCTTACAAAAATCTTAAACCAAAGCAATAACCAGATTTATGAATTTTCGTACAAGGTTTTTAACCTAATCCGGAGGAACTACGTGACCCCATTGCCGGTGGCTCCGATCAATTTCTTCTTTTCACGAGGGATCTAACATGCAAAGTTACCTCGCAGTCTCATTTACTTGTATCAGAAAAAATATACAATAGACGCGTACTATTGATACTCGCACATGATAAGTCGAGAAAAGATCGTAAGAACGAGAACAACACGTCTATATCAAAGATACCACTCAATCAATGTAAAACATATTAGGGTTCATCAAATCCGGAACAACTAGAAGATTAGCCGGACATGATGAGATTTAGAAAGATGAAGGTTGAGAACATTACCATGATGATGACGACGAAGACAGAGGGGTTGAGAATACTGTATGTATATTGAGTTAATAGATTACACCTAGCAAACTTCCGACGGGGGAATAATCGTTTGGCGAAGACGGTGGAAACCGACCAATCTACCACCACAAATGATTATCATAACCCACAGAATAGAAGTTCACTTTGGTAATCTCAATAACGCAATATACCACGGTATTCCCAAATACGAACACAAACATAAGAACCACGATGGATGAAATACGAGATATGATTAACGAAATGAAAAGAAGTAGCAAGAGTTTGGAATGAAAATCGACAGAGTTTCGGCTAACTTCAAATACAAGAAAGGGAGAACAAAATACATATCTAGTGTGTGTGTCCTCTCCCTCTATTTATAGTACAAATTGAGCTACTTGCTTGAGCTATTGGCTTGTAATAAATGGACTAGCTGCTTGCTTGTCTCTCGACCGCTTTGATAATGGCCGGCTGGTTGCTTTCATTCATGGACGAGGCAGCTACTTGCTTTCAAATAATGTACGAGCTTGCTTTCAGTTATGGACGAGCTATAATGGACGTGCTTGCTTGTCCATTTAATTCTCCAGCTTGCTTCCATTAAATTGACCTGGTAGCTTGATCCCACTTAACGTGATTTGCACCAGCTACTAGCTTCAGCTACGATCGAGCGACGAAGGCAAGGGAGGAGGAGCTCCTTGCTTAGGACGTCAATGCAGCTGCTTGCTTCCCGAATAATGGACCTGCTTGCTCCTATGTATGGACCAGCCTGCTTCCCAAGTAATTGACCAGCTAGCTTCTATTTTTGGGACCAACTTGCTTCTTCATTTGACACCAACCATCCTCCAGCTTCTTGCTTCTTTATTTGGACGTGAGCCACTAGCTACAGCTACTAGCTTGCCTTGAGAATCCCAAAATGAACCAGCTTTCCTTATGTTTGGCAGTTTGCGGTTTGACTCCGCAGTTTGCAGTTTGACTCTCTTTCCGTGATCATCACCATAATAAATGATGGGTTTCGTATATTGATAACAAAAGGGGTCGCGGCTGAAGTGGTACGGCTCTTTGCCCTCGCCTGGGACGTCGCGGGCTCGAGTTCCACCGACGCCAGATTTCGAATCCTAACCATATTTTTGTTGAATTGACTCATTATTCCGTTCTTATTGGGTAGAATACCTTGAAACATGACTCAAACACAAAACCAAGCATAAAATCGGGAAATCGAATGAACTTGGTACAATTTATGTTATTTTAGGATGTAAAAGTGTAGGCGGATATATGTATAATTTAGGTGTTATCAGAGATCTCTCTGAAAGATAGGAGGAACAAACCGATCACGCATCAAGCCTAAGATTTTTGCTCTAGTAGAAACTTCAGGCTGCAGATTCCTTATTCGTCGTTGTTGAATCTTTTCCCACCAAACTGATGCATAATCTGTAAACTCATAGGTGGCTACAACAACTTTCTGATGCTCCGGGTAAGGATTGCACTGGGAAAACATAACCATCTTCCTCTCCCAGTCAAGGTAGCCCCCTGCTTCCGGTGTTCTTCCTCCATATTCATTATAATCATTCTCATACTCATTAAATGGAGGTATGTACTACGGGATTACCTGACGACGTTGCTTCGGGTATTGGCGCCTTTGCATCTGCCGATCTGGGGTCTCAGGATAAGCCTGGTACACTCGACTGCTCGGGGACCCTCTCGGTTCGCGGCTCCAGTCTGAGCTGCGACATCTGATGGGTTTTCTGGTGGAGGTAGATTACCCATTGGTTGCGTTCCCAAACTGGTGATTACTGTATCTAGTCGCTGATTCGTCTCAACTAGCTGACCTTTGGTAGCGTCCTACTGGGCCTGAAGCAAAGCTCCCATCTGCGCCATCTGCGCGGCAAGCAGCTTCATGGCTTCTACAAGATCCTGACTCTGCTCTCCCATGGCTTTTCCTTCGATTGGGATTTCTTCTTCAGAGAGCGATTCTTCCTCTTCTAATGCAAATGCACCGAACCAACTAATGTTTTTCCTAATACATGTAACATAATAATATAAAATTTAAATAAGATGCAATTCAGACAATGGATATAAAATCAACATATACATAGAACAAACGGACCCCAACATCGCTGCATTTCCAATGACGTAAAAATCATGCTCCCAAGTGTGGATCTCATGGACAGTAGAGTCAACATTAATGTCATCATCAGCCAACACATGGACAATGCTTCTGAAGGCTTGTGCTTGGTCAATAATGCTACTCTTCTCGTAATTTTCTTTGAGTATTTTAACTGATGGCTTTGTTAGCAATGGTGATAGCTTTCTGGCTTGTATTTTGTATGGAAGATTTAGAATAAGAAAACTTGAAAAGAGTATATAACACACAATGAAAGATGATGATCTCGGAGAACCCATTTCTTAAATCCTCTTTCGTTTCCCAAATCAAAAGAGATTGAAAGGTCTTTGAGGAAATATATGGGTACGTGATTAATTGTATCTTTCGGTGAATGGTATGGGAGATGCGAATCAATTATAATCAAGGTATTTGTATCTTTCGCTTAATTGTTACTGTAGCTACCAGGTTGGTATTGCTTCTCATAGTTAGCTTGATTATGATCAATTTGTTAAGACGAGTATAAGATGCAAACTATATGTAATGAAAATATCTGAAAATATTTGCCCTGTAGAGAACTAGAAAACTAATTACTGAGCATGCATTGGTACTTTGTTGAACTTGATATGCAATAATGAGACTTCAAACCATACACGTGCAACCATATTAAACAAACACAAGAACATTCTCACCATATTAAAAAGGTAAATATGATGGTCATGTGATCAAAGTTTGAATAGTTTCTATTTATAGTGGTTACATATTGGCAAATTTATAAAGCAAAATTGTCATAACAGAAAATGCTGGAATAACCTTTGTTTTTGTTCCTCAACTGTGTTGGCTATTCTTTGGCACTAGTATTTGATTTTATGCTATTTTTAAACAATCAATTTCAAATAGGTAGACACAATTAATGCTAGTGAGTATTTGTTTTTTTTTTTGGCTTGGAGATAGGTTGGTCCGGGGGAGCGGTTAACATAACTACCCTCATAAGGGGTCTGATTTTTGACACCCTACTTAGATGCCATCCATTTTTATTAGTGTGAAACGAATGGTTTGGATTAAACATCTATTTATTGAGCAGTTTTCACGTAATTATTGTTCTATAACCTACATTGAAAGGGAAGAAATCGGGTATCGAGGGAAAAATGGTTCCCAAGGCCAATTCTAAATTAATTACCCCTCACCCTTTTATCTCTCCTTCTCGTCTCCTCCTCTCTCCCTTTCAATAACATGTCAACGAAAACCCTCCCCCGCCGTAACCCCTCCCCGCGATGGAATTATCACCCTTCCGACCTCCGTTACGATCCCTCAACGACCATCGGCGGCCGATCCCATTGGTCGGCCATCCTACGATTACACGCCACAGTCTATGTTTTTCGATCGTCGACAAAAAGGGATCGACGAAGAAGACAACGACCCTCCTCACCGTCCGGGCAAAGACGATGACCCTCCTACCCTTTTGTATTGGCCCTCCTCCCCTTTCCGGCGAAGACGACGAAAAAGAATTTGAGGTAGCTATCCCCCCATTATCTCTCTCTCCCAAACTCATATCTCAATTTTTCGTGTGGTATTAGTACTAGTGCAATGGTCTTTTCATCACCCATATCTGTGTTTTTGTGTTTCGAGATCTGGATGTTTTATGTGGTATCATTACCTGTGCACTGATATGTCTATCACTGTAGTGGTATAAATTGTTGATTATGGTACTGAAGTTTATCACTCAAGTGATAGTTGATTCTTGGATAATGTAGTGTTATTTCATGTGAATCATGTGAATGTTCTTGTATTTCTACCATTACGGCAGTATTTGGTGTACCACTATAAATGTACTAATGAGATATATCACGACAGTGATAGTTGTCTTGCTTATTGATCTCATATTTCTATCACTGAAATGATAGTTCTGATTATTGTGTTTACCAATGGCAGCAAGAATGGAAAAGACGAAGAGACCGTATCATGCGGTTCCAACAGGGAAGAGGCTTGCAAGCTATGTTTCTAGCAAGGTAGAAGTTAGGGTAGGTCAGACTCCTTTCTCAAGTAAGGTTACCAGCAAGAAACAGTGTCGTGAGAGCCGGAATTAGGAAAACAAGATAGGAGGAAGAGGAAGCATACTGATGATGTTAGTGGCAAGAAGTGGATCCCCAACTCTATAATTCAAATTCCGAAGAGTGGAGTTTCAGAGGAGAAAGGCTATACTTGATTTTCCATTGTTTCGGATTCCCATAAACAATTTCTTAGAGACTTCATGTTTTATTTGTAACATTGGTTGGATATTTTATTGTTGCCACCCTTTTTTGGTAACACATTCTAATCCACGGTTAGTGATGATACTAATGAGAAGTTGCTTGGTTGTTTACGTATCAAATTGGTTGTACATGTATCAATTCAGTGGTACATTTATCAGTTAAGTGGTACATGTATCAGTGCAATGGTATGTGCATAAGCTCACTGGTATATATATATATTAGTTCACCGATACATGTACCATTTCAATTATGCTAATGGTACAAGTACAATAGACCTAACACTGCAAGTGGGTGTTTACATTTTGGTGTGGAAAGTATGACTTTAATAATTGCACCAATACTTGTATCAGGCCGGTAGTACATGTACCACTTCAGTGATACATGTATAAGTACAATTGTATATGTACCACAAAAGTGGTAGATGTTCACGGCCGTGCCGCCGTCTGCCAAACGCTGTAGCGATGCACTTTACAACTTGGAGTGGTAAAAAATGAGCCGCCGCTGCCCTCCACGTTCTTCGTTTCCGACGAGTCCTCCCTTGGCGGCCAGCATTCCATCCGGCAATCGGGAGGAGAGTCGAATCCCATGTTCTCCTCCCCATCATTCGATGCCACCACAGGAGGAGCCATTCTTGGCATGCCCAGAATCGCCGCGCGTAATCTCTGATTCGACTTCCCTCCCTACGTGGCCTTCGCCGGCTCGATTTCCGGTGATATTCCTTGCGTCTCGTCCTCTGACGACGAGCAACCCACTAAGCGGGTCGGAGGTGATCTCACCGCGACAATGCCCGATGGTTTTTGGCAGCCGTCGAGTTATGCAGAGGAGAGGGTTGGGTTTCTATTTTTTTAAGGAAAGAAGGGGAATATGGGAGCCCAATTGGATTTCCCCATCCAACGTGCTTTACTCCTTCCCCATAAAGCGTAATTAATATGGGAACTTGCCCAATTTACAAAATTCTAGAAAAAACAAAAAACACTTTTATTAATACTTACCTTTAAATTCGGGATGAAATGGACGGCTGATGGCTGGGGTGTCAAAAAGCAGACCCCTTAAGGGTTAGCATAGTATCTCACCCCTTTGGTCCGGATGCTAGTATCATGTAGTATGCATCTAAATGAAACTAGCTTTGGTGAGTGACATAAACTGATCAATAATCGATATCACAACATCACTTGCAATAGAAGAGCCGAAGGACATACTTAATTAATGATTTTTTTAACAATAAAAGACACTTATTTTTCTACCTTACATCCTCTATGATATATTTTCCTCAAGGAATTTGAATGTTTCCATCTTTGATCTCTAAGCCAAGGATATCAAGTCATCTCATCTATCCTTTGTCCGAGTCGCCCCTACTCCAAACATTGTGGCCATAAGAAATCACATTCTTGAACCTCTCATAAAATTATATGAGCCATTCGCGAAGCTTAAGTGAGAAATATTCGACAATGCTTTTGGGACATTTTAATTATACCACAAAAAAATGAATCAATGAATTTTTTTTCAATCACTCTCTTGTACTCCTGTAAATATGCCAACAAAAAGGCACATCGTTGAACATCTCTCAAATTGATATGAGGCATCCGCGAAGTATAAGTGAGAAATATTCAAACAATGCCTCCCAAATTTTTTGTTGTTGATAATGGTGAATTTATTAGAGAAAAACTGAAAATCACAAAAAACAAAGGCTAGCACAAGGTGTGCGCCTAAAAAGAAAGAAGCAGAATAACAGACAAAAAGAGTACAAGAACATAGAGCAGCAAAGGATCAAGGAAGAAAAGGTGGAAACAAAACCGATTGAAGGGGCTGAGCAAACCAAGAAGCTCCTGCCCTCACAACATCTGAACAAGCAAAAATGAAGTAGGTCGTATCTCCTGTTCAGAACCAATCAAGATACAACCACCTGCTGCAGATTGAAAACCATACACTAACCCGAGTATGAGAGCATCAAATAGCACCAGCTGTGGTTCTGGAAATCCGATCATGCAACCATCTAGAACTTTGATCTTTGTCGGTTCTGTTATGTGCAACAATCCATTCGACAACAACTTTGAAGATTTTCTTGGAGATTATGTTGTACGGAAGGTAAGGATGGTATTTTTGTGCATCAAGAAGGATATGTCGAAAAGGTGCTTAAGCGATTTTATATGGACAAATCACACCTGTTGAGTAATCCAATGGTTGTAAGATCACTTGATGTGAAAAGAGATCCATTTAGACCTCAAGAAAGTGATGAAGATCTGCTTGGCCCTGAAGTGCCATATCTTAGTGCGATAGGAGCATTAATGTATCTAGCCAGTCATACACGACCCGATATATCGTTTGCTGTGAATATATTGGCAAGATATAGCTCTTCTCCCACTAAAAGACATTGGAATGGAGTTAAACATTTACTTCGTTATCTTCGTGGAACGACAGATATGGGCTTGTTCTATTCGAATGCATCGAAGATAGATTTAGTGGGATATGCAGATGCAGGATATCTCTCAGATCCCCACAATGGTAGATCTCAGACAGGATATTTGTTCACTTGTGGTGGTACAGCCATTTCGTGGTGATCCACAAAACAAGCTATAACAGCCACATCATCCAATCATGCTGAAATCCTAGCAATTCACGAGGCAAGTCGTGAATATGTTTGGTCAAGATCTATAATTCGACACATCAGAGAATCGTGTGGACTATCTCTAGGAAAAATGATCCTGACGATCATGTATGAAGATAATGCAGCATGCATTGCTCAATTAAAGGAAGGATATATTAAAGGAGATAGAACAAAACATATTCCACCCAAGTTCTTTTTCACTCATGATCTTCAAAAGAGTGGTGAAATAATTGTTCAAAAAGTTCGTTCAAGTGAGAATCTAGCAGATTTATTCACCAAGTCACTCCCGACGACAATCTTTGTAAAGCTTGTTCGTGAAATTGGAGTTCCACGACTCAAAGACCTGAGCTGATGTGGTCATGAGGGGGAGCATATACGCGCTGCACTCTTTTTTCCTTAACCATGGTTTTTTTCCCACTGGGTTTTCCTGGTAAGGTTTTTAATGAGGCAGCATGAGATAGCGTAATAATGCAATCTAGTGGTCATCCAAGGGGGAGTATTATGTAAATATTTATATTTGGATGACCATTGGCCTACCACATTAGATGCTCACTTGGAAGTTACATGTAACTCCCATTCCTATATTATTATCTCTAATTCATATGCATTGATGTAAGGATGTAATGGTTATCAAAGGGTGCCTATAAATAGAGCACACTATTGTATCACAAATGGTGAATGAATAAGAAAGAACTATTCCCCTCACTTCTCTTGTGTCTTTCCTCCTCCAATCTTCTCTTGTAGTTGCTTACATTTCCATTAGTTTTATAACAAAACTAAATATAATTTGTCATGCGATTATTTTAATCTGTTACCATTTATGACGGTTACACATTGGAATATATATGCAATAAAATCGCAAAAAAACAAAAACAAAAAATAAATTTGGGGAATAACCTTTTCCTTTCTCAACTTTTATGAGTATTGTTTTATCAGTAGAATTTGATGTAATGCTATTGTCAAACATATAATATCAAACAGGGAAACGTAATTAATAGGAAAAAATTCCAAAACACACTAATTACTGAAAAAAACTCTCAAAATACGTTAGTTATAAAAAAAAAAATCCAAAGTACACATGTTAGACATTCACCGTCGTTGTCTAAGGCAGTAAATACAATCACCGCCAAGAACAAAAACAGTGAAGCAATCACCGCGTTAAACAAAAACGGTGAGGGCTTCGCCATTTTAATCAAAGGCGGGGAACCTATCACCGCTGTAAACAAAAACGGTGATGCCTTCAACGTTTTAATTAAGTGAGAGGAAGGTATCACCGCATCGAATGCTACGGTGAAGTGGCTCAGCGATGCGGATCGCTAATGTGGACTACAGCGAGGAATACCCTGCTGTCCACGATAGTGATCTGCGTCGCTGAGCCCCTTCACCACTGTCGTCGGATGCAGTGAGGCGCGGATTCCGGTATTCCTCCCAGATCCGACGCATAACAACCTCCCACGTCAGCTATCCTCGTTGTACACCGCATTCGAGAAAGGTGAGGAATTCACTACCTTTGACAAACGCGGTGATGGCCTCACTGCATCATTTTCCATCAGTCCCCTTCCCCTTATAAATAGAACCCTTCTCCCCTCACTGCATCATCTTCCACATAAGAAAGAATTACTAGAGTTAACCCTAAAGCTCGGCCCTCTAAAAACCATCGAACCTCTGTTTGGCTTCTGCCAAAAAATGGACGAAGAGGCTCTTCGGGTAGGTTCTTGTTTTTCTTTTTGTGATTTATTTTTTTCACCGTTTTAATTAAACGCGATGATGACTTCACCATCTTTATTTACGGCGGTGATTGTATTCATTGTCTTAGACAACGACAGTGATTATATTCACTGCCTTAGACAACAGCGGTTAATGTCAAACATGTGTACTTTTGAAAAAAAAAATTATAACTATCGTATTTTGAGAATTTTTTTCAATCACTAGTGTATTTTAGGATTTTCCTCTAATTAATATTAGTTGGTCTTTGTTTCGGGCTTGGAGATAGGTTGAGTTGGAATCTGATGACTGTGGATTAGGGATGGCTATTTCGACCTGACCCGTTGTACCCGACCTGTTTGGCCTGTTTTGGGGCGGGCATGGGTAACTCTCATCGACCCGACCTGCCCTAACCCGCCCCATTCTCGACCCGTTCTTGCCTAAATTACATGTAATCTTAGTCAAATTACTTATAATTTTCCTTTTATTATCTCATATTTTAGCTATAAAAAAGTTGTAAATAAGTGAAAACCTCAATTTCTCTAATAATTTAACTACATTTTATCATATTATGATTTGTTACTTGGTCTTTTAATGAAAATAACTAATATTTCTAACATTTTTCACATGAATTACGTACCCACTGGGTCGACCCGCCCTGACCCGTACCCCGTGATAAATTACTCGACCTAGGACCCGACCTATCATGGGGCGGGTATGAGTATCGAGATACCCGACCCGGACCTGCCCATTGCCATTCCTACTGTGGATTACATATCTAAATGAACTCAATTCGATGCTCGAGCCCCACATCTGGCAGAAAATTAATATTTCTATCTTTTTATTTAATTTTTTCCGATCACCTTTACTATTGAGTTATGAGTTTCATTTTATTTTTCACACATGGTGCAATCAATGACTTTGGTTTAACTTTCCATGCTATGGAGTATAAGTTACATAAAAAGAACCTAATATCCAATGTTGTGAAATTTAGTAGAAGTTATAATTATTATTGAAAATGCAAGCAAATAAATATTATTGTAAGTATTTCAAAATGTGAATGTATTTCAAAGAGATAAGTAAAGAAATAGTTACTTTAACTTTATATGTAATATAGTAAGCTTCATAATTAGGCTTGCAATTGAACAGAGGTGCTCACGAGCTACTCGACGTTCGGCTAGAAAAAAATCGTTCGATTCTCAGCTCGTTTATTAACTAGCCAAACTTGAGCTAACTCTTGTTTATCTCACAAGGCTATTAAGCCAGCTCGGCTCGGTGGTTTGTTGATCTCAAATTCTGAGCTAGCTTTGAGCTATGAGTTGGCTCGAC